AAAAAAAAAAAGAAACATAAATTACCCATAAAATCGTCTGCTGCAGCAAGCTCACAGATGTGTTTACAGTGGATAATCGGCTGAAAACACTGGCCACGCCTAGGAGGAAGGCTGAGGTACATGATCTTAGTTCACTCCTTTTTCTTCCTCTTAGAACTGCAATGTTTGAGCAGGTACAAGGCAGTGTGCAGGAAACCTGAGTGTGTGTGAGTGCACAGTTGTGACAATTTTCTCTCCTTATGTTAACTTTACTGGACTCTGGTGTTTTACACATGAACTCATGATCATTTGCCCTAACTTTGTTCTCAGTTTCCTGCAGGCAAGCGGCCAAATGAGTGTGTGTGTGGAGGGAGGCGAGCGTATGTAGTCCACAGAGAACAGAAGATAATGCCGATTCACACAGGCACAAGGAAAGCTTCCTAATGCCACCATGGTGAAACATGGATGCTGACTACCTGTAGGACACAGCTGCCATTTCTGCCATGTGTCCCCCGAGTGTCTTCTCAGTACCTCCTAAAGAGAGCTCACACTTTCTGAAGGAGATTCTTTCTCAGTTTCTCTGTCCCAGCATTTTGATTCCATCCTTGTCAGATCAACACCACGTGCTAAAGGAAAGGTCTCTGGAAGACTCGTGAGGCGGTGTGTAGGATCATTCATTGAGCCTTTCAGTTTGAATGTCCTTAGGGTAAACCTCGCCTTGGCCGCTTCCTAACCGAATGCCCTGCAGCACCCTACCTAGCTGTCCAAGGCTCAGTTGGCGTCATGGCAGGGTATAACTCTTCGTAAAAAATCACTGTGAATTCTAAATTAAGTAATGATGGTAAAGGGCCCAAGGGCTGACACAAATATCTCAAAATGATACCTATGAACATAGTTGTCCTAGTTACTATTTTACTCTTTGCTGGACAAATACCCCACACTACAAATGAAGGAAGGAAAGGTGTATTTAGCTCACAGTTACTGGAGGGTTCGGTCCATATTCTGCTGGCTCCAAGGCAAACAAGAGCAGTTCATGTGTCAGAGAACAATGAAGAGCAGAGGAGGAGCAGCCGCTGCGGCGTCCAGATCGGAGCTCCTCCACAGTGGTGTGGCCACGAAGATCAAGCTCCCTGAAGACCGGGACTTCTCCACGGAAGTGGGGCAGGGCAGGGCAGGAGGAAGCCTTCTTCAATTCCTTTATATACATTTTTTGTGCCGAGTCACTCTGGGGCGGCCCATGGCCCTATGGTTGAAGCAGCTGCACCCCAGTGCCAGCTCCATAGCGCCCCATGTTGGGCCCTGTCTCCTGCAGGGCTGGGCCACCACGCAGGAACTGCCAGAGCCAATGTAGCCAAGTTGAAACAATGGATCAACTACTACAATAGTATATCATAAGATTTTAAGCAAATAAGCATGCTTAAATACATTCCTGATTTGTTTGTTTCAGACCTGCCTGCTTTTCTGGACAACATATTGAAATTTTATTTTAGTATCGTACATGAGAGCATGAAGCTCAACAACTCTAATCCGTCATAGATTATATCCAAAAGAACGCAGACGTGAAGCAGCTCATGCGGCCTTCCCTCTCCGTGCAGCAGATCCCTTGTGCAGTGCTGCTGGGAAACGGCAGCAAGTGTTCCTTTAAAGCCAAGTTGAGTTGCTTCCCATTTGTGTCGCACTAACTTGGTGATACCAGTTGGAGCAAGTAACAAGATGTGGCTTACAGGAACATATCTGGAGAATGAAATGGTCATTCTCCTGTGTTTATAGTCCAGGGATCCAGAGAGTCATACACGGGTGCAGCGTGCATCCATGCGTAGGAAAATCCTAAGCAGGACCTAGCAGCTCCCCTTCCAGCTGACCGCCCGCCCTTCAAAAGCCAGAAATGAAGGCCCAGGCAGCGCTCTAGACTGGCTGCGCTGAAGGTGTGCTCCCAGACACACAGGAAGGCCTACCAGAGTGGAAGGCCTTTAAAAATCTCTCTTTAATGAATTTTCTAGAAATGTTAGCTATTGACTGGCTGCTAATGAAGCTAACTGAGCAGAGGTGGAAGTGGCCAGATGGGTCAGGAAACACAGACCTGATGGAATTAGGCCAAGAAAGTCACTAAACAGAAACTGTCATCAGCAACCACCACAAACCCTGGAGAGGAAGGAATGTGCTTCCCAGAACAGGTGGGGTGGTGAAGAAATGTGGTGAATGCATAAATTTTTAAAATTATGGTAAAATACACATTGCCGCTAATCCTCTCCAAAACATCCCCTCTCGCTTCTGATGCACTTATCCTACGATTTTTGTCACTTTCTGAAGCAGTTCTGGAAGTTCCCGTCTGCAGAGCCTTAGTTGTGCCGTGACAGCAGCCTCAGTGTACAGGATCGACTCATAAGGCCGACTGGCGTGGACATGTTGGCCTTAGGGAAGCCCCAGAAGCACCGAGGGTCTGAGATGGGAGTAAAGCCGGAAAGGACACTCGCGACTTCGCAGCCTACTTTCCCACTGAATGGTGCTTGATAGCAGCTTTCAGTGTAGGGTTTTGTTTTGTTTTTTGTATTTTAGGGAAGGGTCTACAGGGTGTTCAGGGTCTCACTACTAGATTGGACTCACAATGATCCGCCTGTTTAGAGCCTCCCAAAAGCTGGGATTACAGGCGCGAGCCACTCTGCCCAGCCTCGACTGCCCTCTCAGTGAGCCCCAGAGGTGGGGCCGTCACGGCAGGCCTGGTGATCGAACCCTAGCTCCTACACCTGCTTGCAGGCACTTTAGTCCACTCAATGTAGTTTTGACAACAGCTTGTAAAGACTCTCATGAAAGACTTCCAGAAAGGCTTCAGAAAGTGCTACAAATGGTGGCCCAAGTGTTTCAGAATATGGGGGAGTACTTTGGGGGATTACTGGTAATATCTTTTATGGGAATAATTTTTTAAGTTAACTATAATTCTGGTCATCTATTTATTTTATAAATGTTTTGTTTTAAACAAAAAATACTAAGACATTGAAAGAACAAATGTAATCAATCAAAGCCATTTCTAATAGTCACATTTTGAGACTAACTAGAAAAACTGGGCCAGTGAGTTAGCTCAGCAGACTACGCGCCTGCTTAGACAAGCACAGGGTTAGGGATTCAACCTCGGGCACCACATGCCTCACCGGCCCCACCCCCAGGGCACGCTGAGCCAGCCCCTGAGTCCGGCATGGTGGCGCACGCCTGTCATCCCAGAGCTGGGGAGGCTGAAAACAGGAGGATCACTAGGAGTCAGAGCTGTGTAGTGAGACCCTGTACCAAATGCAATAAAAAACAAAACAAAACTTTTCACTTGATGGAAAAAATCAAGATACTGTAAAGGCTTCATAAATTCAAATATATACCTAGAAACATAGTCAAATTAACAAAATGCAAAAATGAAGAATTTGAAATGCAGTAAGACAAAGCCGTGCATCACACGCCAGTGAGCTCAATAAGGCTAACAGCTGACTCCTCTTCTGAGACTGTAGAATCGAGAAAGCAGTGAGTGGTGCCGCATGCCCGACACGAGGGCACAGACTGTCACGCAAGAGTTCTATGCCTACTCTTCAAAAGCAAGGAAAAATTAAAACATTACAAGAGAGACAAAAACTGAGAGAATGCATTGCTAGCTGACCTCCTTCATGAGAAATAACAAAGGGAATTCTTTAGACTGAAATAAAGATGCTAGACAATAACTTAAATCCATGTTAAAAAAATATGAACATTACCAGGGCAAAGAAGTGTATATAGTGACTTCTACCTAATTGAAAGCACAGCAGTGTGAGACAATAATTATAAAACTATGTTGGTATACTTAGTATATGAATTTGCAATCTGTAGGTCAATAAAAGCATAAAAGAAATAATTCATCTAGAATTATTTTGTGTCAGTTTATATATTATTGATATTAAATTCTTAATGTAAAATAGATTGTTTTAAGTGAAAGTGCTCATTGCAATCATTAAGAAAATTCCTAAAAATATAATTAAAAAATACAGTAAAAAAAGGATTAAAATGGTAGACTAGAAATTCTTTCAACATAAAATGAAAACAAAAATGTAGGAATAAAGTTTATGAAGAATACCCAAATGACAGACATAAATCCTACTAAATAAAAATTGTATTATATGCAAATGTGTTAAATATTTTAATTAAAGGAAAAATATTGACAGAGTAATTTTTAATGATTATAAGCTGTCCATAAATGACAAACTTTACATTCGTAGTTAACTTATGTGGAAAAGACGCGCCATTCAAATAGTGGCCTACAGAGTTAGAGTCACTATGTTATAATCAGACAAATCAAAACAGTGTAAGACAAAATTGTCACTGGAAACAACACAGGAAACTTTCTTAATGATGAAAGCATCAGTCCACCAAAGACAGCAGTATGAATATATCTGAAAACAACCCTAACAGTATAAAATATGCAAAGCAAAGCCCTTTACAATGGAAGGGAGAAGTAAGCATTCACAAGTCGACCTGGAGAGCTCAGCACGCCCCGCCGCGCATGAGCAGCCCAGGCAGGCAGAGGATCATCGAGGGGACGGAAGAGCCAGGCAGCCTGCCCCCAGGGACGATCTGCACAGCTCAGCAGTGACAGGACCCACAGCTTCCCAAGCGTGCACGGACTGTTCTCCCACATGGGTTGGATGCAAGTCAATGAAGCAAGCCTCAGAAACTGAAAAGGAACGCAGTCATGCAAAATGTGCTCTTCATCACAAAGCCCTTAGACCAGAAATCAGTAACAGGAGAACTTCAGAAAACTCACAAATATGGGAAAGTGAGGAAAACACGCCTCAGCGACCAGTACATCAGAAAAGGGAAGTAGAAAGTGTTCTGGGATGAGTCACAGCGGAAGCGCGGAATGCCACGACTTGTGAGGCACTACTTAAGCTGCTAGCACCTACAGTAGGTCTGTGTAAACGCCTATGTTAGAAAGGACGTGCTCCCATCGTGACAACAACTCAGGAGCTCCGCCTGTTCAACTGTTCTGCCTTATCTAGAAACCACTTCTGAAACTTTCCTGAGGCTTTCAGGGTCCTCACTACCCTCCTTAAAACACCTTGAGCAATGGCAGTTCTTTAAATTCAGAGGCTGCAGGTGATTTTTGAAAACATAAGTCACCCAGAGCCACATTAGCAGTAAGACTGAGGCTAAGTGATTCTGTCGTAGGTCTTAACCCTTGCTGGGTGAAAGGTGTCATGATGACCTCTGCAGTACTGATTTTCACAGCTGCATCTGCAAGCAGGAGAAAGGAGAGTCCTGGGAAGGAACTGCAAATGCGCTTGAACTAAAGAAGCCATGGCGGGAATTAGCGCCTTGGATCAGCTGATGACTGTGTGTAAGTTTTAGGTGTGTTTCAAAATCTTCTCAATACCTCCCAAGTTACTTATGTATCCTACCATTTATGTATCCTACTGACCTCATTGCCTCTATTCCAATAAAGGAAGTGTAGATGTGGTGAGTTGGCAAGAAGTGGTCTAGGAATCTGGTTCTTTAGGTTGAGTTTCCACTGATTAAATGAGGTTTTATTTTATTTTTATTTGATTTTTCTCTACTATTTTGATAATAGACCATCAGTTCATAAGTCTACGCGTCCATACTGAGGTGTAGAATATGACCACTTTTAAAGTCAGAAAGTGCATGTGCTCTGTATCCACATCCAAGCTTGCTTTTCATTCCCTTAGCTGTATCCGTGTTGTTACTACACGACAACCACCAGTACCCAGCAATGCAGAGCTGCTCTATGATGTAAACTACTACATGAAGGGTAAACCACAGTAAACAAAGCGAGAACGTGGAACCCGCACTGTGCAGTGTAAACAAGACCTCCTCTCATCCTGTATTCTAAGGAATATTATTTAGAAAATGACAAACCCCAGTCTTGTAGATTGGAAAAAGAATAATCCTCATCTGATTGGTTATTTTAAAGTCCTCATGGTATGTAATACTTTAACCAAATGCAGCTGATATTTTCATAAACGTCTGGATGTTAGCAGAGTTTGTACACCTAGTACACCCCAGAGTGAACGGCTGTCCAGTGAAGCAGGAGGAAAACAGAGTTGGCTGTCAGCAAATCGAGCGACCCAAGCCAAGATTCTGAGTCCTGGGCAGCAAGCGGAGGGGGATGCCAGGGCAGCGCCGCTGCTTCACCTTGGAAATCCGTGTGATTCCGCAGAGGACAAGGCGCTCGGCTCCCCTTGGAGTGATAAGTTTTGTGACGAATAAGAATGTTTTTGGCAAAAGAATTATTTTGAACAACTGTTTTTAAAGAATTCATTAAACTAGACTGTGCATTATCTTTTGAAACCTTAGTAAAACTTCATCGCTTTTTGAAATATAAATTCAGCTTTATTAAACATATGGGTAAGCTTGAAATTACTCAGAATATTAAAATTAATTTGAAAATAATTAAAATTCGGAGAAACTTCAGGTCTGTGTCCAAGTTCTGAGCAGCCTCAGTATGATATAAAATTGGCTGAGGAAATTTATAGCTCACAGGGGTGTGGGGTAACCGAGGGAGGAGAAGCCCAGACGTTAATTAGCAAGAATTGTGAATTTCCGTGTTGATTTGTTTCCTTTCAAGCTAACATATTTTAAGCATATGTATAAAGAAAACATTTTAACTTATGAATACACATGGAATAAAACCCTAATTCCTCTACTTAGGAAAAACAGAATTCCTAGTATTTTGTACTTTTGCCATTGACTGCTTAAGAAGACAGGGAAAATGGTCTGAATCAAAAGGGAAAAAAAAGGTTTTAAGCACTTTTGAAAGTTTCTTCAGTAAGTGCTCTGTCAGTGTTGAGACCTTCGCCTTCCTGAGCTACCGAGATAAGGATGCGTGCGCTCACCAAGATGTCTCTGCTGAACCTTGGGAGGAAAAAGGACAACTATGCCCCAAAATGTTAATTACTGCACCCAAGGAGCTTGTGACACAGAGGAAAGCTGGACGAGGGGGCAAAGCAAAAGGTTAAACAATAGCACGCTGACTGCTCAAAAAGTAATGTGTGGAGGGTGCAGCCAGGGCCCCCTCTAAGTGTCTATGAGGCAGGTAAGACTCTTGGAAAACGCTTCAGAAGAGAGAAGATACGTGAAACTCAGAATGATGAGCAAGTTCTGGTGTTGTTAGACGCTGACAGGACTCAGTAGGGCACTGTCCTTGGTGGACAGAGTACTGTGCTCGGTACTCGGTTGAGTACTGTGCTTGGGAGAGTATTGTCATGATAAAACTTTGAAAGGTGGAAGAGACTTTAGAATCAGCTGGGAGGGCTTTGAGGTGCGGGATAAGGAAAGCCAGAAGTTTGGGGAGTGTTTCAAAGTCCTAGTAACTGTTGAGTTTTTTGATGAGTGTTTGAAGGACTGTGTAGACATTTTTATTTGAAACTGGAGAAATCAACCTCTGTTATACAGTGGTAGACAGCTCAACGTTACTGCCTCCCATGATGATAATGGAGAAATACTACCCCAGTGAGCAGCTATCTGGGTGTACATTCTGGTGATTGCCTCCTGCTTGCATTAAAAGGTGAAAAGAGACAGAAGTGAAAAAGGAGACTTTTAAACAATGACCAAAAAGATTTAAAAATTCTGAATTCTAGTCCATGAAATGATGCTGCCATTAAGACAGGCCTTCTGAGAAAAGATCTAATCCAGGAAACTCGGAAGAAAATATGACCTAAATACAAAGCCAAGAGTTTCACATTCTGTGCTAAGACCTCAGAAATCCGCAGGACTGTGAGTTGGATGATCATTTGTCCAACACCACGCCTAAGACAATCAAAGGTGCTGTCCTCCATCAGGTCTGCAGAAGTTCAAGGCAAGAAGCGCTTCTCAGAGAGAGTACTGGGTGTAGCCTTTGTCTAATGCAGCAGATCCAGTATTATTTAGAGATCTACACAGTGTTTAAAGATTCAGGCCATCAGCCACATCCTCAGCTTGGGGTGAAGCACGCTGAGAGACAGAGAGGAAATTGGCTTTGTACTCTCAAAGCAGTTGAGGATCCACTCACTGGCACAGTGAGGACATTTTTCTTTCCAGCTCTCATAGAAAAGCAACAGGAGGACTCACAGTGAGGCCTAGCACCCAGGAGGCAGATCTGAGGCCATGGAGATCACTCCTACACAGGAGAAAGACTGAGCCCTAAACAAAAAGCACCCATGTTCACTCCGCTGGTTTCTGAATTGCCATAGACCAGTGACTCGTGTGTGTGTGTGTGTGTGTGTGTGTGTATGTGTGTGTGTGTGTGTACCAGGAGTTGAACTCAGGACCATGTGCTTGCCAGGCAGACACTTGTGCCACCAAGCTATATCCCCAGCCCACCAGTGAGTCTTGTCTGCTTCACTTTTCCCCTTTTTGAATAGGATTGATGTTAGTGGTTTTCCCATCTGTGATGTTCTGCCTTTGTCTGCTAGGGTTAGGTGGGGTGGGGGAGGGGCACATGTTTTTTCTTCGGTTTACGTGTCAGGACCAAGAAGAACTCAACTTAAGGAACTACTCCAGGAGCAATCATACATGTGCTGACTTGACTAAGATGAGATTTCAACTTAGCTGATGAGACTGGGCACGGGGGAGTACCCCCTGCATGATACGTACTGCTTGGGATCCGTAGGCTGCACCAGGTCACTAGCCTCGGACGCAGTCCCCAGTGACTGCTGCTTCCTAGTATTCTTGCCTTGTACTCCCCTTCCACATCAGCCAGGGCAGGGTCAGAGTGGACGTCAGCGGCATTCCCGCTGAGCTTCCGTCTTGCTGTCTTTGGGTACTCACTCTCAGGAGCCGGAGACCCCATAAGCAGTCCTCCATGCAAGAGTCTGAGGTTTTGGCCCACAGCCAGCATCGATTGGCCAGTTTTACGGCTCATCTTGGAAATGGGTCCTCCAGCCTCAGTCATTGTCTTTTCTATTGTGAGTTATGATCCACCGAAACAGGGCCGCAGTGACCTGGGCTCCTTCTTGTGCCTAGTGTTCTGAAGGTGTCCTATGCCGAACTTTCAGTACATTTTAGTGCCCAGAGCAGCTACAGCTTCAGGTCAGCTTTGACAGTGATTCCGTAGCGGGGGCAAGGGTATGGCCAGAAGGATGTTTGAATGGATATGTAGAGCTGAAGGACTCCCAAAGCCACAGGTCCATATCTTTCAGGATGTGTGCATAGAGACTAAAGGACAGTCTCCTGGGCCACAAGGCCAGTGTGATTCCAAACGTTTTGCTCTAGGGAGTTTTTTGTCCCTCCCCATACTCCGATTTATTACTTAATTTGGTCCCAAGGTCGGCCACTCAACAGCTCACCCTGACCTCCCCTGGCCTTCCTTGGCCCCTGGGTGAGTTCCTGCCCAGAAGCCTTTCTTTTTTCTTTGAACTTTGCTCCTCCTTCTGTCAATAAAGGGCCAGAGAGGTTTCAGTTCGGGCCATCACGCTGAGGCTGTCACTCAGTGGCAGCTGCTCTGGGCCCTCTTGGGGATGGACATTGACTCTGAGTCCACTGCGAGGAATCTTGCGTCCTTTGTTCTGCACCACAGTCATGAACCTCTGTCCCACGAGAGACCTGTGCAATAGCGCCTGTAGCTTGACAGTAGAGGAAGCAGGGGAGTGAGGAAACTGGCACGGAACAAGGTCCACCGCACAAATGCACGAGGAGCTTCAACACAGCACTAGGCATTTTTTTAGACAATTGTTTTGAAGGGCTGAGGGTGCCAAGCCGCTTAGTGCTAAGTACTCACCCTCTACGTGGCAACATACCAGGCCCCAGCACTCCAAAGAAGCAGAACTAAAATTCTTGAGCTTAAGTTTCTAACTTTTAAAGCAACCTGATTTTTCTCTAAAAGTATAACCAGGGCTGGGAGTATGTGTACTTAGCATGCAGAAGGCTCACCCCGGGGCTGCACACAAGCACTCGGTGGTGTAGATTAGGAGGGAGAGGACGGGGGCCCAGGAGGCCGGTGATGGAGTCCCGAGGTCACTGAGGTTCACTCCACCTAGTTCTCCTCAACAGTGACCCTGGGGAGGGGGTACAGAAGAGGGATGTGATGGTGACCCACGGGATGGGGTTTACTCAAGGCCACAGAAAAGAGCAGATGTGGCTGAGGAGGAATCAAAGCCCAGAAAGGCACCCTCTGGAAGGAGACAGTGGCCCTGATGCCTCTGGAGTGGCACGGTTCTTCTTGGTCTCTAACTCATTCTCTATCAGGTAAGAGGATGCCCTGATTTTACAGCCTGGCATTGAACATCAGGCCCAGGCGAATGGAGATAGAGGCCAGCTCCTGGGGTGCAGACCGGCCTACAGCTGTGGGAGTGTGCACTTGGGGAGCTGCGCTGCTTTGGGGCCAGAAGGGGGCGGGCTCTATGCCTGGGGCCTTGTGCCTACTTCACACAGCTCAGCGAGGGGCCCATGCCGAAGTTCAGGTAGGTTTTATTCTTATGAATTATTTTCCAGGAAGAACTGTGCATGATGCCACAGCCACGTGGTATGTATCTGTCAGTGACTTCATATAAAACAATCTGGTGCTGAAGTCATTTGACATCTGAAAGGCATCGACTTAATCAAGAAAATACAGTCCGGGGTTGGACTGTGGCATTCCAAACCCACAGAAGGTAGGTTTTTACAGTACTCTTTTCCTACGTCCATTCACCCCTGGAGAAGCTTTAATGTATCAAAGCGGATACCAACAATTGATTTTTTAGTTGTCCAGCCTGGGCAATATAGTGACTTAGCAGGACTCTGCTCAATTTTTTTTTAAATTTTAAAAAGGATGGGGAATGTAGCTGGGTTTGAAGATTCTGGGTTGATTGCCCAGGACTATCCCCCCCATGTGAAATAATTATTTAAAGTGTGTGGATGGCCCAAAAATGTTGTACAGATACTTGCATCCTTAGATAAAAATAAGAGTATAAAAATAAGGATGTAATAAATTTATTTTGTAAAAGATATGGCTCATTATGTTACCCAACTAGCTCCAAATTCCTTAGTTCAAGCAATCCTCCTGCCTCAGTGTTACAATTTGTGTCTAGGTGTCCCCTCAAACCTCAGGCAGTCAGGGGGCAGCTTCTGGAGTTTGTGGTTGATCCCTGATACAATGCTGGGATGCGAGTGCTACACCCTATCCCTGGGGCAGGTAACTTGCATTACAATGCAGGGAAGGGGAGAGAGGCCAGCTGGCTGCCTGAGCTGCTGCCACTCCTTTTGCTCTCTGCTCTTTGCCGCCACCATGCAAGGTTGCTCTCTGCCACGTGCCACTCTGCCTTGGAGCCCGCTGAGTATGACTGAAACCTCCAATAACTGTGAGCTAAATAAACCTTTCCTCCCTTCACTTTGAGTGTCGAGTATTTGTTCCAGCAAGGAAAGAAAAGTAAGTGGGACACCCAGCCTCCTGAACAGCTGGCTCTACAAGCTGTAGCACCACGGAAGTCTTGCATAATAATACAATTCTTACATAGTCAGTGTATGAGTCTGTACTCTTGGGAGTGACTGTGAATCCTTACAATTACAATGACCCTGTGTTCACCCATGTACATAGGGTGCTGTTACCTGGTCCAGCTAGCCAGGGAGCTGGATCCTGCCATCAGAACCTAACAGCTTGCTTCAGACAGACACTGTCACTTAGTCTTGAGTGAGGCTTTCATGCAGAACACTTTCAGAGAGCCTAAAAGGCCAGGGAGCCGGGCTGACCAGGTGAGCACCGTGCTGTCCACCTGACCACGTCTGGTGCTCACCCCCTGCACAGAGGGCGCCTGCGTCTTGCTTTCCTTGTCTACCACCACCTGGCAGGCAGGTTCCAGGCTGGAGAGATTGTGTCCCTTGTTTCTGGAAGCTGTGACTGGCTCCCACCTGAGGTCTCCACGGTGTTGGCCCCACTCACTTAAGTTTTTCTGAGGATGAGGAATAGAGTGGACATGGGATGGGGACAGTCTCTGTTCTTCTGTATAACAGTGCAGGTCACACTCCTGTGAAGGGCCCCCAGGAATGATGCCACTGTGTCTTCCTGAGGGATGGCTCTGGAGGGGCATTGGGTGGACCAACATCGATAGGGATAAAGGGGTCACTGTGTCTGTACAGTGGAACACAGCAGCATCAGGGAGGTGGCCTCAGGGGTGTCCCACAAGAGGAGGTCACTGTCTCCTATATGCTGGCTCCTGGACTTGTATAGGGACATTTTGGAGGTGTCCAGAAATAAGTGGAAGACTGAGCAGCTTAGAAGCTCCGAGCCCCACACTGGAAGCCCCGAGCCAGGTAAATATGGAGCAGTATTGTGCGAGAGACGCTGTGCAAGCAATGTTGGAGAAAAATGATTCTTACTCGTGGGGGACCACTCACGTCAGGAGGAGCGGGAAGCTACTGAGGGGGAACCCCAGCAGCCACTTGTCTTCCCGACAGGTCGGGGTCACAGGTCACAGGATGGGCCGATGCTGCCTTTCTGAGTAGGAACGGGCTGGGGTGAAGGTGTCAGTGTCCCCACTTTGCAATGTGGGGAGGACTTTGCTCTCCACTTCACCTAGGAAGGAGGAAAGGACGTGTTCTCCTCCCCAAATGGAAGGTCCTGAAACTCTCAAACTCAGAATCTGTGTGGGGCAGGATGGGGCGGATGGTCGGGCCCTGCACTGTGCCAGTATTGGGGCGCAGTGAGATGCCCTGCGTTTGGGGAGGGGCTCGAGTGCCTGCACGTGGGTTTGAGTAGACAGAGGCCAGGTCCAAGAGGGAGAGGTGTGCCTGCTCTGTGTTCTCATGCTGAGATGTGCTGGCTGCTGCCACAGTTGAGGCAATGCAACTCCAGTGGGCCCCATTGGGTAGGACCTGGCTGCTGGGCCAGGAGAAGGGTGTTGGCCTGGTTGCAAGTGTGGTCCCAGAGTTGCATGCTGACGCGAAAGCAGAACAGCTACACCTCAGATGGCGTGGCTGCGCTGCTCCTGTAATGCTCTGGAGCCCCTGTACTGTGAGGCCCCTTTAATCTACCTTGGACTCTACTGTCATGGGAGCTGTCGCAAGTCAGGAGACCCTGTTACAAAGGAGAGGGCTTGCACTGCATTTTCCAAGTCTACTTTATTGAATAATTTACCCATTAACAAAGGATAATAAGGTCCATGTTGGAATTTTAATATAATACATACACATGACTCCCAAAGTATGTCTTTTTAAGACAAAGATACAGCCAGATGCATCTACGTCCAGAAATAAGAGTATACGTGATACAAGCAGTCACCACTTATGGATCCACTTTAAATTCTCATCTATGTGGATAAACCTTGCCAGGAAGGTGCACTGCCATCTACCAGCTGGGATGCTGCCCGCATGAGCCCATGCCCAGCAGCCGCCCTCCAGGATGTTTTCTGCTCTTTTGAATAGCAGTAACTGGTTGTAGGCCTTCATGGAAGGTGAAACCGCCTAGAGAACGACTACTTACTCAAAACACTCTGCACTAAAACGGAGCTCAGACACATACTGGCACTTCTAATTGGAGAGACCACACTTCAAGCTACGCGAGGAGGTAATCCAAATGCAGGAGCCCAACACCACTTGCCTTTAGGATGGAAGGTAGTTTGCCTTTTATAAATAAAGTTCTGATTGTAAAAGGCTTTGGTAGGCTGGGCACTGGTGGCCCAGGAGGGTAACCCTAGCTGCCCTGGAGCCTGAGGCAGGAGGACTACACCCTGGAGCCCAGCAAGGACAACTTGGTGAGACTTTCCCTCAAAATGGAAAGGGCTGAAGGTATGCGGCCTGCAGCTCCGTGCTAGAGTGCTTGCCCCGCACGTGTGGAGCGCTGGGTCCTCGCACTGAAAAGAGGACAGGGAGGCGGGAAAGAGAACCGATATGCTGGGGGGGGGGCGTGGCTTAGTGACAGAGCCTAAACTTCCCATACTCGAGGTTCCAGGCTCAATCCCTGGTACTACAGGTAAACTGAAGGCCTTCGAGGAGTTATTGATAGAGAAGAAGGTTTGATTTTCATGTAAGAAAAAGAGAAGCTAAATTTTTCTATCGAGCAAATGCAAAGGAAGGTGCACTGGAGACGCCGAGAAGAGATCCTGGCGGTGTCGCCGCCCGCGCGGGCAGTGGAGCAGCTGCAGACACAGAGCCCACCGCGCACAACCACCGCAGCCTCCCTGCCTGACCTTCGGGTGCCTCACAGTTCTGCAAATGACGGTTCCAAGAAAGCTGGTGCAAGTGACCAAGCAATGGCCGTGACTCATCACATGGCTGACAAAGGTTCTACAATCTGAGGTGCAGGATCTCAGGAAAAGTCCTGAGGGGATTTGACTGACCTTATCAGACCCAAAAGCTACAGCTCTTGTTGCATAGGTCGTGCTTTACCTTGGTCTTAACCTTCCAGCGGAAAAATATAAAAATGAAGCATAAGAAGTAAAGCCATGTTGTGATGTTGAGCTGTGGGGGACTCAGGTCAACAATTTCTGACATTGCCACTGAAGTGGAAGACCCAATACTATTATGGGCTACTGGACTCTTTTAGAATATCTTGCTGAGTTAACACACCTATAATATTCAAATGATAGAACTAAACAAAAAAGGGGATACAGATGAATGTCCATTTTGTATCCGTGTATTCAAAGTGGTTAGGATAGATATATAATTACATTCTCTTAATGAATAGAGGGATTTGTTGTAATAGTGTTTGTAAATAGGATATCATGTCTGCATCTTGTATAGCAAATAACCCCTAGGAAGAATGTATGCAATGTGTTAATTATTGAAACTGTCCTACCAATTTGATTTGAAACTGTCTCATTGCTATTTGTCTCTCAATAAAATTATGGGAAAAAAACAACAAGAAAGCTGGTGCATGGCCTGAGCTAGCAGGCGGAGAAGTGCAGGCCGGCACACTGCCGAGGGGCCGGGGCAGCGCCAGGGCTGCTGTGAGGACAGAAGAAAACACGGCAAAGCCAGGAATGAAATAAGAAGCAGGCTTCTCATTTCCTGTTCTGAAATTCATAGTTTGATTCTAAAATGAGCAAAAAACCCCAGCTCCACTGACTTCAGTAAGTCAGATGAAAGCGGCAGCAGCCACCGGTCTTTCAAAGCACACGTGGGCATTTGCCATGATGACTGCAGGGGCCTGCTTACATGTCTAAGGGCACAAAGCAAAGCCCTGGGATTCACCAGGTGCATGTGGAACCCAGTTTCCAACCTGGAAATCTTCACCCAAGTTGGGCCGGAGGACAAGCCCTTCCTTCGCTTCTTATGTAGCAAATAAGAGCAGGCCCCCTTCCTCTCCCTGATCTTTCGTATCAGCAGATCTATTAAGTACTGGGTCTCCCCAGCTATCAATGTGGGTATATATTTGCCTTAATGACGGGTAGGGTTATTTCTCTCCAGACAGTGGAAGGGCCTCATCGGCCCATAATTTCCTCCATTTGGAAAAGAAATGGGAACCTCCTAGTGAGAGTAAGTGAAGTCCTAGTGTCCCCGAAGAGCATGGAGCTGAAACCCAGGCTCTCGGATCCGGGTACCTTTTGGACATGTTGATCACAGTAGCCACAATCTAGCCTCACTCACTTCTCTGAGTCCACGCTGGCATCTGCTTTGATTACCCAGCTTTGCAAAGTCCCCTTTTCCCGTGAGAGTAGCGATTTACCACGCTGCAGGCCGCTGCTGGAGGAGCCCTGTGAGCACCGAGCAGAGCCAGGAGGAACTCTGGCCTGACAGGCCTCCCTTCTGCATAACTCTAAACTGTGGTCTTTGACTCTGCAATGCAAACAATCCTCAGCTGGCTAGAGAAGATGCCCTGCTGGCGTAGGGACACTGTCCCATCCACGTGCGGACTTTAACTACAGATTCAAATGAGGCCCCTTCTCCTTTCTAAAGTAGTCTCCTTTGTCAACCTCAAGAAATAAGACAGTCACATCACTAACTACAGGGTCATCAAGTGTATTAATTTGGCAAAGAAATCACGCTGTAGGGGCCAGGGAGATAGTTCAGTAGAATAAGTGCTTGCCTGGGAAGTGCAAGGACCTGAGTTCAATCCCCAGTTCTGCCAAGAAAAAAAGAAAAGAAAAGAAATCATGCTGTATTTCACCTGAACTGTTCCTTCCATGTTTAGCAGGGTGAGGGCAATTTCTCTGCTTCGGGGAATCAGAGTGGAGGCGGGATCAAGTGCCCATCCTGCAGAAGACCTGCTGGACACGGGAGAATCCGAGCCCTGGGCCAGACCATGCCTCTGCCCCAGGGGCCCAGCCAGCCCTTGGCTTCCTGGTCAGCACTGAACTGAGTATCGGCTCCCTGCAGTCTAGGAGCATTAATGCATGCGCTGCCTTGGATTTTTCCTGACTCAACAAACGGCACCAGCTAAACACAGCCAGTAATAGGACTCTTGAGTCACCTAGATTCAAGTGTGTGTGCGTGTGTGTGTGTGTGTGTGTGTGTGTGTACATGCATGCGTGTGCATGGGCAGGGGTGTGTGGCGTGTTCCTTTTTCCTTTTTGTAAAAATAAAATTAAACATTCAAAGCTTAATTGCATCACAGGAGTAGAAGAAAATAGCTTTAGATAAAAGCATCGGCCAAAGGGAAAAGGACATGTGCTGCCTTATGAGTGTGGAGGCTGGAGGAGTGCACTGCAGAGTAAGCGGGACTGCCAGGGGCGGCTCGGGGCCCCAGGACAGCGCCTCCGCCTCGACCTCCACTGTCCCCTGCAGGAGGAGGAGGACGCCACGCACTGCTCACAGGAGTGCTTCGCAGGTCGGCTGGCTGGCTGGGTGGAGCGAAGGGAGGAGAGTCCATCTGCCATCCCGACAGAGCCCCCAAGCAACTCTTGCTCCGTACCATTCACTGCTGTTGTGACCAACTAGCCTGCACAATATACTGCGCTGAACATTAGGGAACAGGTCTAGCATATTTTGACACAATAGCATTGTTCTTTGGTCTGTTTGGCTTTTGCTCAGAATTGTATCTCTAGCCCTTTTATTTATTTATTTATTTTTAATCTTAAGGCAGGGTGTTGCTAAGTTGCTAAATTACCCAGGCTGGGCCCAAACATGTGATCCTCCTGCCTCGGCTTCCCAGACTACTGGGATCACAGCCATTCGCCACCACTTCCTGCTAACACAGCAGTATCTAGAAATTGGAAACTGAGGAAAGGTCCCAGGGCGGGGCACTGAGTGTGGTGCAGAGCATGCAGTGGGACTGAGGGCAGCGGGCGCTCTGGACCTCTCCTCCTTCGGAAGGAAACGGCACATATTTTGATCTTTCCGCTCTGTGTCCCTCTGTACAAGGCCACCCACAGTAGCACTCATGCCCCTTATTAAATAACGGTCAGGAAATGGCTCGAGAGGACAGGAATAGACGCCTTCCCCGGGCATCACTGTCACACTCAGGGGGCCAGCTGGGGGGCATCGGGTCCTTCACCTTCCGTGTCCGACTGCTATTTCTTCGCAAGCCTCCAAGTCACAGGAATCTGCGTCGGTGGGTGCAGCTGTTGGTCTTCGTAAGTGTAGGAGCAGCCCCTCCGACGACGGGAACAGGAAGCACATCGTGAAAAAGCATGACTACTCTGAAAGCAGAAGCAGCTACTGGGAAGAAACTGATGCGCTTGGGGAGACTGGAGAATACACGGAAGCGGCGAGGTCCGGTGCCCGGTGCCTTTTGCTTCAGGAATTTGAAGAGGGCTTATACTCCAGCAAGCAAATTATTTGCCCATTGAGTTCACCAGATTTCAGGCCACTCGAGAAGTGCTTCAGGGTGACAAACTGAGACCTTTCCTAGAGACAGAATCACCCCTTTGAGAGGCACGGTTTCATGACTGGAAGCCACTTTTTGCCTCTTCGTGTAGCCTCCGGGCTCTTAAATCTCAAATTTCAACTCTGACTGCTCTAGGAATTGGAGAAAGAGCAGGCATAACGTACCCCTGCCCCAGTGACTAACATCCAAAAATTAAAAAATTAAAAATAACTCAAGGAGGCAGGGAGACACCTCCCACCATGCAGGCTGTAGAACTGGGGTCTGCCTGCACCCCAGGGACCAGCACGGGTGCCCTGGCTGAGCCAGGCAAAGGCGCTCCCAGCACAAGTTCAAGGCCTCCTCTGCTGCGGCCAGCTGCCAGTCATCCTAGGGGTCAAGTCATCCGAACTGCTGATTTTTCCAAAAGTCTTCTCAAAGCAGCAGCAACCACAGCAGTTTTCCTGCAAAGCAAACAAAATCTGAATCTTGTTAATTCAGCAGGACTTTTAAAATTGTAATTAGTTGGTTGTGCCCCTTAGGAAAACCACAGATGACATTTTTTCATAATGGATGTGTGTACGGGGTGGGGGTGGGGGTTCCTGACAGATTCAGCTGCTTTCCATTGTTGGGTCTCTTTTTTCTTTTTCTTTTTAGTTTATGGGAGATATTTTAGCCTCTCGCTATAGTGAGGGACAAGGCCTCTTTGTTTCATTTGAAGCTCGGCTTCTGAGCAGTGGCCACAGCCCCTGGTCAGCTGGATCCCAGCATCAAAGTGAGGTTTTGGGTCTCACAGCGAGCCCAGCCTTCTCTGGGATCCCTGGGGGCCAGACTTGGGACCCACAGATGCCAGGCCCACAGGTGTTCGCTTCCCTTCTATACAATGGTGGGGTTCTGCAGAGAAGTTGCGTCCATCTTCCCACGCACTTCAAGTCATCTCTAGACTCCCTACACCACCTAGCATGGCATAGACACTCTGCAAATAGTCGGCATGCTGTTAGTCAGGGAACACGGCCAAGGAAGAAAGCGGCCCCTCCCGCTCTGATGCATGTGCTATCCAAATGTTTCCTCTGCAGTTGGTTGCTCTGAAGATGGGAACCTGCGGATGCCCAAGGCGGGCAGGATTGCCATTGGCTTTACGGCCCCTGCTGGCCTGGGGCTGCTCTGCCTCCTGCCCGAAATCACTTGGGTCTGGAAGGGCGTCCTAAGTGCAGGTCTCGGGCTGGCCACCATCACAGGGAGGGAGGGGTGAACTGAGTGCCACCAGGTTGATGCTGGGAGTATTTCCTTGACGCATCAAGAAACCGCTAACAAATTGAAGGAGATTTATATGCCTTAATTTACATTGCAAATTATGCCTTATTCATATGGCCTGGAACGCTGTCTTTTTCCACAGGAATAATCTTCAACCACCAGATCCTTAAAATCAATATTATCTCAAATTTGGTTTCACTCATAATGCCTTTTTGCCAAAAAAACCTCATCTCATCCTGGCAAGGGATACTATTGTGAAGAATAATGTTTTGTTTAACTTCTCAAATAAATGTGCTCCAAGAATTAATATCTTACATTTTAACTTTAAGTAAAAATTTTAAAAGTAGAAGCTTGGGGTGTAACTCAGGGGGAGCCCAGCATGTGCAAGGCCTTAGGTTCCATCCCCAGAACCACAAAAAGAATAAAAGAAGAAATATATAAACTAGGGAGCATCGGGTTTGGGTGGATCTGTGGCAGTTCTTCCTGGGGCGGCAGAGGGACTCAGGTGATTTTCTATGACTCATCCCAGGAGAACCTGGAAGAGCCAGGCATGAGGCCCCGTGGCATCTGGAGGCTCACCCGTGTCCAGAGTGGCCCCACCCTGAGATTCCCACAGGGCCACAGCTGACCACACCGAGGTGCCCACTGGAACGTTTGCCCTTCACAACTTGGGCCGCCTCTCCTCCATCACAGAGTCCAGAGCGCCTGTGCAGGCATGGAGGGACTCCACCTCCTCCACCCACCATTTCCTCCCGTTCTCTCCCTGCCAGGCCCTGGCGACAGGCCCGCCTTGGAATGCAACCCCTGTCACCCAGCGAATGCATTCCCACTAGGCCCCCAAAGTGACTCCAGCACTTCTGGTGGGAAGATAGTTTGTGGCAAACCTTCAGGGTTTGTGGTGACTGGGGACAAAACTGCTTCTGGGGGAGAGGGTGAGGGAAGGGAGAGAGCGAGGACAGACAGGGTCCCGGCCACACTGGGCCCTGGGCCCTCGCGACTCGCAGTGAAGGAATCCTTGAGCACAGTGACCCGCGTCCAGTGCCCCAGACCGGGGTCCTTGGGACAGAAAGGACCCCTCTGCTTCCTGTTACTGCTGAGGAGCAAGCACAGTTCTTGTAGGCAGAAAGCACCAGCCTTCCCTGGCTGGTCTCATAAGGGTACACGCAGCCAAACAGATGAAGACCTCCAGCCCACAAACACGGAGATCAGAGTGCAGGATTAAGTCCAGGGAGGCGGAGGGTAGCGCAGCAGTAGAGCACTTCCATTGTGTGTACACAAGTCTGGGTTCAACCCCCAGACTGCAAAAGGGGGCGGGTGAGAAATTAAGGCCAGTGGAGAGCAAGAACATGGATTTACACATCATAAATCCTATGCAGTTATTAAAATTTAGCTGCAAAAATGGCTATGAACTTATTGCCCAAGATTAGGGAGCTGTAGGGTTGGTAGCTCCCTCCCGAGGGCATAAGTGTTGGATTTTGAAGTTCTTCATTAGTGTACTGCAACTTCTGTAATCTTAACCTTTAGGGTACAGTTTGAGCTAAGGTTATTGATATGAAAGAAAGTATTCACATGTAAAACTATCCCGTAGTAATTCCAACAAAACTCCAGGAGAAGCATGAAACCTACATCTAAGTTTTATGTATGCAGTGGTTTTCCTGGGAGTCAGAGATCCGGGCCAAGGTCAGAGGTAGCTTGAAGGGAAAAAATAAATCTGGCTTTGGCTTCCAGGATAACAGAGGGAACCGTGCTCCGCCACATAATGGCTGCATGGCTTTAGCTGAGTTACTGAGTTTCTGAGCTCCAGACTTGGTTTGTCCATCTAGATGCAATTCTAAGGACCACTGGAGACAGTTTCCAGTCAGAGCCTGGAGCCTGCTATGCTAATTAGTGAGCGTAGTTGGCCCTGGCCATGCCCATGTTCCTCCACACTCCTGGCTGCAAGCTGTCTTAGATGATCTCTCTAGGCTGTGCTAGGACCTCAGGTATTGCAACTACCCTACCCCACACAGTAGGGATTCAAGCGCCCTCTGCTAGGACGTGGCAGAGCCAGGGTGCAAATGAGGCAACCTGAATTTGGGGATCCTCTCCCCCACACCAAGTGAAGCACTGCCCTGCTCCTCACAGTTTGCCCAAAACTCTCAACATCTCGCTCATTCTCTAGCTGGAGCGTGGCACACACCTCTTCAGGGAACCACTGCAACAGGGGGCTCATTTTTAAGACTGCTTGATCTGTGATTTCCCACATTGTAACCATAATTAGCCCCCCAATTTTCTTCTCAGGAAAAGATTTGATACTAACCTTTCAAAGGGGTGTCTTCCGTGGACTATTTGGTCATGAGATTATGAGCATCGGAGTTGCACTTCTTCTAGGAAAGCAAGAGATATTTGGGGAAGGATTAGAACTGTTTTCAGCGGTTCTGACTTAAGAACACAGAGAGTCAGTGATTCTCCACCTAGTAAAAACCTTCTTCAAGAGATAATCCTGAAGTCTAAATTGCCACCGACCTCAGAGCAGTCACATTCCCGCCCTGCCCGCCCGGCTGCAGCATGTTACCCACTCTACACCAGCAGCCCGTCATCATTTCCCCTCCTCCCCCCTTAGCACCACCGTCAATACATGTAGGGCCCAGTCACACTTAATGTTTTCATGTGTGTCTTATCAAAACCCACTCTGGCCAAGCACAAGGGCATATGTTTGTGAAAGTAAGGATGCAATGACTGCAAGGATGAGTTAGACCCAGGAGGGGCTTCTGCCACAATTGTTCAAGTCTAGTAGCAGACAAGGGTGATATAAGTACCCAGAGAGAAGGGAAGAGAAGAAGAGAGGAGAGGAGAGGAGAGGAGAGGAGAGGAGAGGAGAGGAAGAGGAGAGGAGAGGGGAGGGGAGTAGAGGGAAAGGGAAGAAAGAGAAACAGAAAGAACCTTCAGTTTAGGGACCAAGGAAAGCCATGGTTAAAAAAAAAAGAAAAAAAAAAAAAGATGGCCTTCACCATAGGCCTTAATTGGCAGGATCTGGAGAAGAGCTTCTTTGGACAGAGATGGTTACAGCTGGGGACATTCAAAGGCTGGGCCCACCTCATGTCATGTTGAGCCTGAGAAAGAAGCTGGGGAGCTTCAGGACTAGAGTTCAGAGAGGGAGGCGCTTGCTCAGGATTGGCATGGTTAAGAGGTGAAGAACATATGCACAATGAAAAGGGATACATAAGAACTCATAATGCATCAATAATTTGCTTTATTTATTACTGGATAGAATTCCACTGAGTGGCTGTACCACGGTTCAATTAACCACTTATGCATTAAAGAATATCTAGGTTGTTTCCTGGCTGGGGATATTATGAATAAATTGTTACAACCAAAAAAAAAAAAAAAAACACACATAAAATACTTCTAAAATAGAATTCAGGTCAAATGATAAATCCTGTTGGACTAGAAATAAATTTTCAGCATAAAGGTAAGTTCTTATTTTAGATAACATATAAGAACAAAGATTATTCCAAAAACAAATCTTCTGGAAAAATATGGTCTGTTATACAGACCACGCATCTCTAGTCCAGGATTAAGTTTGAAATATTCCAAAACTGGAAGCTTTTGCAACGCCAACATGACGCTAGAAGGGGAACACTCCATGCCCGACCTCAAGTGACAAGCAATAGCCTAAATCTATGCTTACAAAAAATATTGCTTAAAATTGCCTTCAGGGCACGTGTATAAGGGGGATGCGAAATATAAATGAATTTCATCCTTAGACTTGTGTCACACCCTTGACATTTCTCATCTAGTATATGCGAACATTTCAAGGCCAGAAAAAATCCAAAATCAGGGACATACTCAGTCCATAGGGGATACATATTTTGGATAAGGGATACTCAACTTGTTTTTCAGTGAAAAAGAATATATTGTTTGAATATTGGCTTTCAGTAGTTCCAAACACGTACAGCAAGAATGGTTCTAGGAAGGTGGCTGAGGCTCCCTTTAGCAGTACAAGAGCAGAGTGGCCCAGGTCGGCCCCAGACTCCAGGATTTACCTTCTTCCTGTACAGAATGGGCACACTAACATCGGCCTCAAAGGTTAGGCGTGAGGGACTCACGAGCTAATAAAGAAGTCTGGGCAGTGATTGTCACAATGTCACATACTGATAATTTTTTTTCTCTGTACCAGGGATTGAACTCAGGACCCTGCCTGATAATTTTAATAACTAGACTTATAGAAGAGAATTTGTTTCTTTGAATTGCTGCATTCTTGAAATATTTATTCACCTCAAGTACCAGCAGTTGGATGGAGTAACCAAAAGGTGATTTTCATTGTTGCATGGTTAAAAAATATCATAAGCTCCGTAGGGTATGCGGCATCGTGAATTTTCTGCTGTGGTTTCTATATTGTCCTGCCAGGTCAAAATGTATTTGGACACCAATAAGCTTGGGTAAAAATATATTCATGGAAAATGGGCTCAAAATAAGTTGGTCACCCTAATAAGCAGTTTATGCATTTGGGATGAGGTACTGGCTAGGTAATAAGTCTATTTTTACTTGGCATTGGTACCAATTATCAAGGAAAGGTATATTCAGACACAAATAAAACTTAGTGCTGACGCTGAATTTAGAAATAGAGTTAATTTCAATAAAAACTGCATGTGGAAAAACTGAGTACCTGAAGCCCAGTCATTCCAAGGTTTGTTGGTCAGGGGGAAAGTTCCATTCCAAACCCAGGGAGTAGGGAGGTTGAGGAGGAAAAGTGGAGGAAATAGAGTGTGTTCAGCACGCACCACGGGAGGCCCCGGCGGCTGCCACCTTCCCGGTGCGCCTGTCGGACCCGTGCTCTGTGAGCCTGAAGGCACAGCCGGCTTACTGCACTGATGCGCAGCCTGCCCGGCTCACCATCCTAAATGCTGAGACAGTTACTTAAATGTCATGTGTCTGTGTTACTTCTAGAATCCACTATTTTTTTTTTTGGATGAAAACAACCTGAGGGAGTCAGAGAAGCCACTGCAGAAGCTACCCTAGCAATTCAGGGGACAAACAGCCCAGGCCAAGACAGCTAGGGGGATGGAGAGAATTGGGCAGATTCCAGAGGCGATAAGGTACGGGACTGGGCATACATTAAATATGGGATGAGGGAATGCAGGAGAAGGCAGGAACAAAGAGTTTGTTGATACCACTCAGTGGCCTCTTTCAATAAGAAGACAGTAAAGAAGGTGGTGAGCTAGGGGTGGGGTGTGGCTCTGGGAGGGGCTGAGAAGACCCAAGTGGAAAATCCAGCACACAGAGGTATATGAGGTTGAAGCTCAGGAGGAAATCTGCAGAAGAGTTGCCTAAGGGAGTTGGGACATAAACATTTTGGGAACAGGAATAGAAAGAGATTACACGGCCAGAGGCTAGTGCAGGTATAGGTGTCATCGTTCTCAACAAACACTTCAGTCTTTCATCTCTGAAAAAGACCCCTTCATGCTTACTTATATGGGCATGTAGAGCAAACTGAGTAGTAAAGGTTGGTGGTGCATGTCTGTAATTCCAGCTGTCTGGGAAGCAGAAACAAGAGAATCTTGAGTTCAAAGCCAACCTGGGAAACTTGGCAAACATGCCTCTGAAGAAATTTTTTTTTCTGTATTTTAGGGAAGGGTCTACAGGGTGTTCAGGGTCTCACTACTACATCGGACTCATAGTGATTCTCCTGTTTACCCCAAGAGCTAGGATTATAGGTATGCGCCACCACACCCAGTCTCAATTGTCGTCTCAGCGCGCCCTGGGGATGGGGGTGGCAAGGCAGGCCTGGGGATCGAAACTCCGGCCCCTGCGCCTGCTTGCAGGTGCTTTAATCTGCTGAGCTATTTCACTGGCCCTCACCAAAGAAAATTTTTAAAAGGGCTCAGAATGTAGCTCAGTGCTAGAACTCTTGCTGAACATGCAGTGAGACCCTAAATTCAATCCCTAGCATAAAAAAAGAAGAAATAAAATAGTTGGTGCCCAGAATAGAGTAAATCAGGTAAGCAGGGGATCTACAATTCTGAATTCTGTTTTATGGAATATTACTCCAGAATGTGTACACCAGCAAGTCTTGCCCACACTATGTTTTTCATACATACATGTATACATATATACATCCCAGCCCATATATGTGTGTGCACAGAGTATTCTAAAGTAATAATGGATACAAAGACAATAATAAGCACTTATACTGAAAATAACATTCAGGTAAATAAACAATGCAATCAGCAGTTTTTTAAAAGTCAAACTGCTCAATAAAATATTTGAAGCAATTTACCATTAGCACAAAATTTTCAGGCTGTATGAGAAAGCAACAGAAGGAACCTCATGGAAGGTGAAGATGAACGATCATCACCAGACGGGCAGGCGGGAGAAGAGGAGGAAAGCACAGAGGGCTTCTCACCTGTGCGTGGAGTCTGGCGTGGAGCTCGTGACTGGACAGCCAGGGGTGCTTGAGAGCTTCACTGGCACTTATTCTCCAACTAGAGGGCAATTCAGAGGCTTACTGTAGGAACACCCCCAAGGAGGCCTGCAGTTGCAATGGATATCTTTGGTCTTGCCTACACCTTCAGTAGACCAGAAGGCTGAACGCCATGTTTACAGCAAAGTCTATGTTTCCTGGAATTGTGTGCTATGGGTAGTAGCACAGATGACCATCAGATCCAACCAGGATAACAACATTGGTAAGACAAGTGAGGCAAATGATCAAAATTATTTTAATAATTTAACATCTACTCCAAGTACTGTAATTGGAGCCTTTCTTATGACATGAAAGTGAACCTCCTGCATTGAACTTCTAATAGACAGCATAAGAGTAAATTTATATTATTGTAAATAAAACACTACCTCGCTACAAACTGTGGACAGGGTTTCAGGGTAAATCCTGAGGGGATCTGACTGACCTTGTCAGATATAAAAGTTACATTTCTTGTTATATAGGTCTTGCTTTATCTTGGTCTTAACCATCCAGCAGAAAAGTATAAAAATGAGGTATAAAAAGTAAAGCCATATTAACATGCTGAGCTGTAAAAGGCTCGAGCGAACAACCTCTGACATTGCCAGTCCTATGGATAACCCACTACTATTAGGGACTACTAGATCACTTTGCTGAATTCAGTGGAATACCCATCTCTGACAAAAGTAAGCAAAAAGGGGGATATAAATGAAAGACCATTTTTCAGTGAAAAATATATATCTATATATACAAAATAATTAGCATAGATATACAGCTACTTTCTCTTAGTTCAATGAGAAGTTTTGAACTAATAGTGTTTAGACAAGATATCATGTCTGCATCTTGTCCTCTGAATGACTACTATGAAGACAACAATATGCAATGTATTAATTATTGTAACTGTCCTACTAACCTGTTTTGAAACTGTCTCATTGATACTTCTTTCTCAATAAAATTAATATATAAAAAATAAACAAAATACTGCCTCAAAGTGATTCCTGATGATTACAAAAGGAATTTAAATCTTTTGAATATATTAACTTCTGAATTACTCTAATCTGTTTCTGGGCAGTCTCAAGTAGCTTTCAGTAGCCATAAAGCTTCAGTTTGTAGAAATGCTTCAATACGATTGTGTTATTAGATACTAAACACTTAAATATAAGACTGGAAGACAAAGGACATTGTACTTTCAGGGACTACGTTGATATGGTCCTGATTATAGGACCCTAAACAGGCAGCAGTTGCTAAAAAAAAAAACAAAAAACAAAAAACCCACAAACTTTACTTCTACGAACCTCAGATGGAAATAAATTTTAGGACGGGGTCCCCACAGCGGACCGTGCTGAAATATGGCTGTTACTACTCACAAGTCAAAGATTTAAAGTCTGGCCATGAGAAAGTTAACAAGAACATTGTACTCATAATTAGGCTCTAAATAACTAGGTTTATATTTATACCCCTGAAATTTATTCTGTGATCCTGATATTTGGCTTTGGCCTTAGCTTCGTGCAAATATTGACTTTGCGATTAAGCCAGGTTAAAAAAAAGAAAAAAAAAAAAAAAAAAAAAGGATTAAGCTAGGTGCTCAGGGTTGCCCCTTAGATATGAGTGCAGGAGTGGGCAGGGCCGGCAGCGGGCCCAGAGGCCCTGCCTCGCAGCCTGCTCTGCGTGAGCCCCGCGCCATCCCTGCTCGCAGACTCAGCTGCGCATCTGTGAAATTGTGCTCATTAGCTCCACATGCACAGATGCATGTGGAAGTGGAGAAACACATGCAAGCATGTCTAATGCCCATGGCCCCGGCCCTCGGTAGACTGGAGACACCCACGCCTGTCGTGCTCCCAGCGTGCACAGGCATCATAGGTGACTCGAGGAGGGTGGATCCTAATGGCCCTGGTGGTTTGTACTACTTCCTGTTTCTGCCAGAACACAGGATGACCTGAGTTACCTTTTCTCCTTAATTAGGAGCTTGGAGATGAACTCCCTGGCTTCATCTGAGATGTCCTGAAATTCTTCATCCTCTAAGTCCCACCTGCAGGCCAGGATGTTGCTCAGCGTCTCTGCATCATTGTCACCCAGGAAAGGGGACAAACCACTAAGTCTACAGGACACAGGATCCAAAGTGAGTATTTTTAAAATAAGCCTCAAATCCTTACAAACAGGTTGCTTTTTGATTCTGTCATTTAAAAGGAGAAGAGGAAAATAACAAAGACGCACAATTTTATAACCTATTATTGCAACCAGAAAAACGCTTTCCTCTCCCATTCCAGGTCTTAACTAAACAACGGTGACAGTGAAGGCTGCAGCTACACTGGGATATAAATCTTAAATCTCATATTCCTGCTCAAGCACTTCACAGCTGTTAAGATGCTGTCACATACACAGAAGGCAAATGCCAGGAATGTCACCTCTCGGAAGTAAGGCCAGCATGAGTCACAAAGAAGATTGGGGTAAGGGTGGGGCTCTTTATAAAATGACTTTTAGGGCTTTAGGTATGTCCTAGGAATCAGTGATCCATGAAGAGGACACACATCCACATTTCAAGGTGATGTGGGAGAAGAGCTTACTCCTCTCATCCACAGATTCAACAGAACCTAGAAAGCAACCACGGCATAGTGTTTTCTAAAAACCTAAATTAGCGCTCTTGTTCAAAATAGCCAAGCCTCAGAGAGCGGGCACGGATGGAAGATGTGTGCAGGAGAGCCAAAGCTGCTTACAGCATGTAGGCGATGACCCCCACACTCCACATGTCTGTCGGGAAGGAAACAAAGTCATAGTTCACAACTTCGGGGGCGAGAAATTCAGGGGTTCCAAAGTTCACCTTCAGTTTCTCCCTGGGTTTGTATCTGGAATTGAGGAAACAAAGTGGAAAGACAGGAAGTGTCGATCAAAACTCAAAACTCATGAATGCTGCACGGACACAGCCTATGACACAAAATACCTCCCGCTATCCAGTGAATTGAAACTACGCAGACTTTAAAGGGGATCATGTATTCGTGTCAGTTTTGGAAACCAGCAGAAAAGTCCCAGAGATTTCTAGAGCAAAATTCACTCTATAAACCTTTAATAACCTGAAACAGTTATGGAGAAAAAAAAAGACAAAGAGAAAGCCAGTAGAGTCCCTGGCATGTAGCTGGTTTGAATAAGCCCATGTTAATGAATAAACGGAAGGCTGTGACAATTTACAACCCCTCTTTGAGGCAGGCAAGCACGCTGAATTGTAAACGCGTCCACGTAAACCCTTCAAGCCCTTGTGAAGCTCCCACATGCTGGAGCCTTGCTGTCTCACAGTAGCCCTTTTCTTGTCAGATGGAACAAACACAAAAAACTAAGACAAACTCTTCAAACGCTAAAATAATGGCTTCGGACTTAATGCCTCTCCGCATTAGGTTTATACTTTCTCACAATTTTATTACATGTATTGTGGAAGCCTGCAGACACTAAAATCTCCAGTGCCGCAAGGTAAGACTGAACGTGAGTTTTGTTAAATTAATTCTAAATGAGGGCGTGGGAATAAAGGGCACGTTAGATTTATCTTTGCAAAGAATGAGCACCAGATATGTCCCCTAACTTTGTTCCTACACCTATGTCCAAACACACATACCTTCTGGCCAATCCAAAATCAATAATTTTTATTTGTTTAGTGTCCCGATTCACACAGAGGATATTCTCAGGCTGCCAGGAGAAAGAGACACATTAGCAATGAAAACAACTGTGCTTTGCTCAAATTGTTCTTCAACCACAACTAAAAATACAACAATGCTCAGGAAAAACATATCAGGCTTTTCACTAGGGGCTAGCTCTTCTGTGTGGGCACTTTCTCCTCTAATTATGTGGTGGATGAGGCCCTCAGCACCCTGCCAACCTTGCATCACCCTGCCTGTCCCTCTCCACGGTTTTGCAGTTGACCATAATACATGAGTTCAGGCAGAGGCCTCTGTGAGGGAGGACAGAGCACGAGGCTGTTTCAGGACTTCATTCCATGGGGGAGGCCAGCTCAGACTTGACATCGCCCCCCATCCCTAAAATTATTAAGTATGAATTCCCCTGTCTTGGAGGAATATTTTTTCCAAAGATTTATGAGTTCCCAGAGAAATGGCCTGATTTACTTAAACAACCACATTGAATGTGCAATCTAACATAAGCGCTCCCAAAACCTCTAGAGTTTCCCTTTGCGCTGGGTTTTTGGGAAAGCTGCATGTTAAAGGCAGGCTTTTCTCTCCGATTCATTCTTTATCTTCAGAAACTCTTAAGGTTTTGCTGTTTGGTTTCAATGCCTACAGCCCCCGATAAAGTGCTCTCTTGCAGTCAGGCTCTGCTAAGACTTTACCCTGTTAATCTGATGATCTTGGGTGAAGCAGGAGAAAAGCAAATAACAGCACTAAACTCAGTGTCTCAAGAATGTCTTACAAATACACCTACTTTAGAGACGACAGAATTACTGAGATCTAAGAAAAATAAAAGGCTTGATTTAAAGTCAAAGTCTGTAAAGCTGAAAGTTTTCAATGAAGAGACAAAAACTCTCACACTATGGCTTCAGTACCTCCCTTTGCGCTGGAGGCCTGAGCGGAGCTGCTGAATACCTTGGGCTCCACTTGCCCTCCTTTTAGCTGGGTGTGTAGCTCCCTCCCACCTCCTACCTGAATGAGAAGAGGCTCAAAAAGATTAGGAACTCAAGACATATTTAGGAACGAATGTAGAGTTCTCTTTATCAGTATCGAGTACTCCACTGCATTGGATGTGACATCTTTAGAAATTAATCCTTTCCTAGAATATATCTAAAACAGATGTCTGTCACTTTACACGTAGGTGGGGGCCATGTGAGGCAGTTGGTTTCATGCTTAAATAGCTAATCGGCCATGTATGAAGCTGTCGGGTTTTCAGAGAATACCAGAGCATCTTAAAACTGGCTTGCACAATGTAAAGAAATAGCTCTGAGGGTACTTCCAAAAGTTAATGCTTATGATCAGGAAATCAAAGAATTTTCACTGAATGAGATTTGTAGAACAGAAAAAAAAAATATAAAGAAGTCTTTTTAAATCACCCGTACTTAATGACTCCCAATGCTTTTAGCCCTTTTTCTTCTAAGGCGCTTTCTAAAAAGCTAGTCTTTAATGACCAACCCAGCCATCATCTTGATTATTATCTTCATACATAAGCTATAAATAAAATAGTCCAGAGCAAGTCCTTCAGTGTTTGGAAGCCAGAGAGAGAGAGTGACATGGCTCAGGATAGGTCAGTTCCTGGCTCCAGCTGCCCTTCAAATCCCTTCAGAATATTCACAGTCCAGGAAAACAGGCACGGCTATGCTCAGTTCACGGCCACAGACTTTGCCAATGACTTTTAACCTCTGACTTCATCATTTATATAGCACTTCCCCCTGCCCTACTCCTGCAAAACAGCCAATGGGAAAGGCAAGGCACATAAATCAAGGCAGCGAGGGAGGCCAAGTCGTAGGAAGGAGGCCATGGAAACCTATTTAAAGAGGCTAGATTTATTCAGCTGCATGCTCCCTGGTGACTCGCAATAGCTGGTATGTTCTGTGGAATACACACTTTATCTCACTGTCATGCTGTGCAAGCAGGAAGATGAGAAAATGACCGAGCCACACAAGGAGATGCGCTTCACGACGCTCAGCTCCAGCCCTAGATTCTATCGGGGTCACACGTGGCCTCAGTCTTTCTCTAGTTTGCGTCCAGCTCTGCTAGGGCTTCATGAGCAGGGCGACTTCTCCCATGTGCTGGCTCCCAGCCCCAGCGCGGTGCCACAGCCTCCTCCTGCTGGCTGGCATGTGAGCCTCGCCATCCGCCTGCGCTGTACTCTGCTCTCCACAGCTCGTCCTCAGTGGTCCAGCCAAGCCCATAAAAAAGTAAACCCGAAAGCCCAAAGCTTTATTCTTTGAGCTCTAGAAAGTCTGACTACAACTAGGGAATTGAGAGTTAGCTAGAAATCCTCCGCCCTGTACGCTCTAACGAGAAGGCTGCGACAAGGATATTGTGGTAGTATGGTGGTTTCAGTTCTAAACTTTTAGGGAAACCACTTCCTGTGCCAATTTCTTCAACATGGACAAGTTACAAGAATCCTAACAGTAGCCTCTGAAGATGGTGACAAAAGTTGAGAATGAGACCAAAATCCAGATTTTAAGACTAGTGTGGTGGCACATGCCTGTGAAGCCAGCTGAGGTAGATGAATTGTCACAAGTCTGAGCCCAACTTGGAGTACACAATGAGTTCAAGGCCAGCCTGAACTACGTAGGGAGACCCTGTCTCAAAACAAATAAACAAAAGTAGAACACCAGTTTTCAGGCATGGACTGTGCATGCACTCCTGGCTTCTCGAAAGGCTGAGGCAGACGCATCACCTGAACCTAGGAACTCAGGGCAACACAGAAATACACAACCTGTTTCCAAAGCAATCCAGACTTTTGTTAATTCCTAAGAACGTAACCAGTGACTGCAAACTGCCTCGCCTGGCATATACTGTCCACAGGGCCCTCTGGCCAACACAGGGAGGGCATGGGACAGCTTTACATCCCACAGGGTGGAGAATGCGTGCTACCTTCAGGTCCAAGTGCAGGATGTACATCTGATGCATGTGCCTTATGCCCTCGCATATCTGCTTGACGAACAGGATGGTGTCGAGCTCCGTCAGGCTGCAGGTCTCGTCAATGATGCGGTCGAACAGCTCCCCGCCTTCCACGCTACAGAGGAGAGAGGGGCGAAGCGCTCAGGCCTTGTACTGAAGGGCATGGGCTTTCTTGTAGCTAAGGGTGCACGAGCTTCTCTGACTGTTCCACAAGACACACGTGAAGCGCTTTCTCCCCTTCTTTGCTACCTGCGTTCCACACCGGGGCTCTGCTCGGGGGCAACACACATGCCTTCCTTTCACAGAGGGCAAGTATGAAAGTCCGTTTGGTCAGCAGCTGCAGCTCTGGGACGAGTCTGCCTGTCCCGCCCTTTGACACATGCCAGAGGTAAGAGCATTCCAAGGACACAGGCGGGACCCTCTGAACCCCAGCGGCAAGGCTGCAACCCTCTGCCCCTCAGCCTAACTGGAGTGATGAAGAGCTTCCGAGCCAGCCTAACTGGAGTGATGAAGAGCTTCCGAGCCGCTGATGCTTTACTACGCAATGTGCTTTATGGCACAGTGATGAGCAAAACCAAGCTGGAAACAAGTGTGCTGAATCCCAATAGCAACTCTGTCCTTTTCAGAATCAGAACTACTCCTTTTCTTCCTTATGATCAAACTTAGGACCTCACACCTGCTAGGGAAACACTGCTAAGAAGCTACATGCTGAGCCCAGAACCAGGCATGCTCCAACCAGTTGTGAAATTTTTACAAAGGTAATTCTAAATTGAAGGCCGCTAGTCCCTGTCACCAAGGGTGTGACATGAACTTTGCGTTAGTGATCACAGCCACAACCACCCTTACACACATAGAGTTTTCTGTCCACAGTTTCATTTACTCACAGTCTAACATAAGAAGATACGGGGCCAGCCAAAAACCTCAGCA